TATGATTTTATTTGTATAAAACTTTTGAATGTATACACAATTTATGAATCGGAGCAACAATTTTTGTTCTTGCTTTAGGCATTTCTAACTCGAGAGTTGTTAGTTAGTTATACAGTATACTTATATGTATGAGTAGGCCTAGTGACTAATCACTTGTCAATGCATCACACAATCACTTGTCAATGCATCACACAATGTATTCATTATACTTCCAAATATGATTGTTGACTTGAGGCATATTAATCACATAATGAATCATTATATGGAGACGAAACTCCAGAAGATACCGGTGCGACTGTTCAAGTCGCCGACCAGTGATTTCTTGTTTGGATGAGGAACTAGCAACGACGATTTCTTGTGCGCATCCTTCACCTTTCCGCCCAATGACAAGAGCGAACACTGCAGTAAATTATTGATAGCTTGTGAAAAGTGAAAACTTTTTGCATCCATGAAGACAAAAACATATTAGTACGCGTAAAATGACTCACTAGCTCGTTATGTCCAATACTGGTGGTCAAGTTTTGAATCAAGGACATGCTCTTTGAACCACTTGAAAATTTCAAGATCGCTCTGTTTCTTCTCTTCCATCCTCGTCACTATTCGACCAACCTAACATTTGGATTCCAACAGAATGAAGGATTATCACGTTTCAGTGTTGTACACGAAACGACACAATAGCCTTTTGAAATGCAAACCTGTTTAAGATAGTCATCCAAAAAGATTATCGCATGATCATCTTGTCCAGTGTTGAGTTTGAAAACATGAACAACTTTATCCCTTGGTAAACACTTCACCAAATCCAAATTGACTATTACTCTAGGAAGCTTAATAAAGATGATAAAAAGGGGAAATTTTGATACAACCCAAAATAAGAACATTCCATCCACAGGTAAAGATACCAACAACATAAGTAGCAGAACTAAAGGTGAGAAACTACAATACAAAAAAGAGCAAATGATACAGTTTTGCAGGTTCTAAAACTCATTAGAAAAAAAAAACCTTAAAGACACAATACAAAGATTTATAACTTGATTAGTTCCAAAGTTTTCATTTCTCAAAGAAAAACATGTTTTACCTCTAGTTGGAGGTCTC